CAGACTAAAAAGAAAAGATCTAAACAACTACTAATATCTTTACTATTACCAAAAGATATTGGTTCCTTTTCTTTAGTAGCTGAACACATTTGAACATGTAGCCCCCATCCTAACAGAAATCATTGAGCAGTTAAATACCTTGGTTACTTGCTCTTATCGGATGGACCATCACTTCTGCTTCGTGCTTCATAACAACGGCTGCAGAAGGTTAACTTTCTCCTCATAGTGTTTTGACTAGCTATTAGTTGTATACTTTTTAGCCCTCTGCTTCCTGGTTGACAAAATCTGACACAAAATAAACATTCTTTTCTTAATGGAATTGAGAGTATCCAGGTTAAAATAATTCAAGTGAAATGGGCAGGATATATATTTTTTTTCCTGGACCAGAACTATGTTAACATAGCTTTATACCGGTTATGTTGCTTTGATATAAAACAGAAGTTCTTTGTTTTAGGCTGGCTGTTTTCCACCTCTATGATGGCTAATAGATATAATTCAAGCAGCCCTAACTATGAAAATATTTCCAGTGATAAATTAGGCAAAGATATTTTGTGATTTTTAGTCCATGTGTAAATAATCTAAAGCTGCCCCTGTTACCCAAAATTCAACATTCTTTCATAGTGTCTGCTGTTTCTTTAAAGCATGCATTTCTTTAAACCTAAGGCTACTAATTCTAATGGGTTATTTGGTTGTCTGGATGCAGGTGAGGGTTAGGACCTTGGACTCAGAGAAGGGACACGGATTTTGTCCCTCTTCAGCCACAGAGTAGCGTTTTTCTCTCAGCCACCTTGGTTTTTCTCATCTTTCCAGTGAAAACATCTAAGTACATTTTCTCAAGTGAAGACGATGAAGAGAATGAAAACAGCAAAATTAGGAAAACCCAATGAAAGTGATACTGAGAAAGACAGGGTTTCGTGAGGCGGCACATTTTATAGCACTGTTTAAAAAATGAATCAAATGCTCAGAAATACTGTGCCCTCCAAAAAACAGAGAGAGCACCTTTGGAGCCCGCAATCTCAGGGTCTGGGCATTTCTGCCTCTCTGCTGCCCTCTACTGACCCAACATCCTCTTCGCTTCTGGTACCTTTGCCGGTCAGCCTTCCTCTAAATGACGGAGGGAGTACTGGAAATGTGTGGCCGCTATTGTGTGAAAACATACTGCACTGAGGTGCAGAGCGTGAGTAAAGTCCGGCGGCCATTGCAGCCCTCTGCAATCTCCAGTCTCCCAGGTGAAAAGCAGGTGTTGGGAACAAATGGGAAGCATGGTACAGGACTGTCCCAAGAAATACTTGGTGAGCTACTTACGGCCCGGTGACCCCACTTCACCCTTTATAGTACTTATCTGCTTTCATTCTCGCAGCAGTTCTGAATGCTAAGTATTCATGTCTCCATTCTCTAATTAGAAAACAAAGATAAAGACAGTTGGGGGTTCGCGTTCAGGCTACAGACATCGCATGCGCCGAGGTGTGCCATGCTAAAGGACAGCCTGCTGGCAGAGGTCTCTTTTGTAAATGGCCTTCTAGAAGAATTCCCTGTAAGGACTGTCATATTTTGTAAAACATATGTATCTACCCCTCCTAAATGGAGATAACGGCTGGCAGGTGACTCTAGGATGTGACATTAACATTTTCTTCGGATTTATTGCTTAGCAAATCCTGGCACGGCAGACACCGCCACCTGAGTTTAAGTCTTTTGGTTTTGAACGGGAGTCAGTTTGTGGAGGAGTTTCTGTTGACGAACTCTAAATCAAAAGTAAGTTCTCAGTCTTTGAACAAAAGTCTGCTTCTCAGGTCACTACGTCCCAGGACCCACGGTGGCAACAAGGGGAAAGGGCACAGACTTGGAACAACACAAGGCCCCATCTCAGCAGATGCAAGGCCGCTGCACCATTTGCGACAGCTTGCGGATATTCACCCCTGCTTGCCTTGAGCGCCCCGCAGACTTGTCTTCCTCCTCCTTCTCTTTCCCCTTCCTTCTCTCATCTTTTCTCATTCCCGCTGCTGCTCAGTGTGGACTGAGCGGTGAGCGTGGTCCTAAAGTTCAGATGGAAGTCCTAAGTCCCAGTGTGATGGCTCTCTTTGGGTCCCCTTGGTCCTTCCTACTTTGTGAGTGGTTTTAAGAGGACAGTCTTCTGCCACCAGGAAGTTGGCCTCAACTCTGATCTCAGACTCTAGTCTTCAGGACGGTGAAAAGTAAGTTATAAGATTTGTACATGAATATTCCAATCTGTGGTGCTTGGTAAAGCACCCTGAAAGGTCATACCCAGTTCTGTGTTCAGGGTGGATGTTAGAAACAAAACTTGAAAAGGTATTCCAAGGGCTGAGATATTAACAAATTTGACTCATGTCTATAGGGCAAATGGTCACCACAATATAGAGAAGGGGACTGAGTCAGACAAAAGCTACAAGGTGCGCTTAGGCCCACACAGCTCTCACGGTGGGACAGAAGTGTGCTCTGCACAGGTGAGATGGCCACACAGCACAGTTCTGGGAGCACAGCGGTGTAGGCTATGCGTAGAGCAGTCTTCTTAGCTACTCACAAACCTAACAGCTGCCAGGCTTCACTGCTCCTCCAAATCTGGGACAAAATTTCTAAGAAGAATTATCTGAAAGCATCCTCAATGGCTTTAAAAAATATTGTTCTACCCCCTCCCAGGACTTCAGCAGAAGGGTCGCCAGGTTCTCACAGTAGGCAGATGAGCCCTGAGGCAAGGGGCGTATGCTTGTTCATCTTTTGTAGGTATCTCAAGTCTCAGAGGGCCAAGTACCAAAATGCCATTACTATTACTGCTCTTGTTATTGTTATCGTTGCTAGCTTATAGGTTATCAGCACTTGCTTTTCTAGAATTGCCGAGACACTAGAACTTTCCTTCTTATTCTCCCATTCCCATCATGTTTCTCCCTTGGTTTGTGAACCTTGGGAACTAAACGTGACTCCCATTCTTTAGTCCAGCGATTTCCTATTGTGGTCTGTAATAGCTCAGGTTCTCTGAGCAGTTAATGACAGCTAATTAGTTTCTCATCCCAGATAAGATGCTTTGGTAGCTGGGGTCACAAACTAGTGGGTATAAATGAGGACTTATTCACTGTAATTACCTAAGTCCAGGAGAGAATAACTCCCTCTCCTGAGCGCCAGGGTGATGCAAACATTGCACAGAGACCCCATGAGGCCCTTCGCTTGTTATGACCAGTTCTGTGACTTTGAGTGAAACCACTCTCCTAGAAACTTAGTTTGGACACCATCAAAGTGATGGCGGTTTGCGGGGTGGGGGGGCTGAGGGGGAAGCCCCCCCCCCCCGCACTGACCACTGAGAAACCAACCACTTCTTGATTGACACAAATTCCACTGGCACCCTAAATTGTTCTTTTGGGAAGATGTCACTCTGGTTATGAGGTAGTGACATGCACCCTCAAAAGTCAAATGGCATCAGAGACCTGCTCTAATCCCAACTCTGATCTTGTCTGTTGAACAAAGGGTTGGGTAAGGGCAGCACCGTTCCAAAGGGGTGCACTGAGGGCCTGAGCAGGGCTCTCAGGCTCCATGAAGTTTTACTCATGACTAACACCACGCATGTGCTCGTAAAATATGCCTGCGCACCCCTCCCCATCCTCTGGAAGCCGCATAGCAAAGAAGGACTTATTTCATATGGCCATCTTTGTTTAGGCTCGGTTACATTGAATCCAAGTGTCTAAAGGAACAACCTGTTACTCAGAGAGTTCATTTTCCCAGGTAGGAACTTTTACTGCTCATCTCTTAAGGCCAAAAAGCCGAAGTGAAGAATCTCACACAGACCAAAACCTTAGGGTGCAAAGTCATCACAAAGCAGGGTCAGGAGGGAGAACCAGGGAATAGAGAACTGAAAACTTAATAGTCGCTAAAATGTGACGGAGCACTCAAGAAAGAATCAACATCAACGGCTATTTCAGAACCATCTGGGATGTGGTGGCGATAGAAAAAGCCAACATGCGAGTCAAGACAAGAGCTAATTTTCCACAAGACATATTCACTAAAAATCACATAAGGGCCTCCTCTTCATTATATGGATTGGAGCTTAAGGAAGATACTTTAACAAAAAAGAAAACCAGTCTAGTTTGGAGAATATGCTAATTTTCTTCTGGTAATAATTTTAGAAATCATGGGTTTTCTTTTCCAGGCAATTACTTTAATGAATCAATTGGGGTTTCAAGAAACAATTAAATGAGCTCAATTCGCTCTCAAGTTCAGCAAAATGAGATCATTCATTCTGGATTTGGGTCAGCTGGGGTCAAGTCTCCTGCCCAAAACAGAATAGCAGGATCGGGGTAGTCTTCTCTTTATGCCCTTTTTTTCCTTTGCATCGTCTTTCCCAAACTCGCCTTCTCCTAATCGCTCTCCCTTGGTCCTCAGAGTGTGAAGGCTGCAGGCATGTGCCACTATACCTGGCTTTATGCTTTCTATTTAACTAAGTTATGTTGCTAGATATTCAGATCATATCGAGTAGCCAGCACAGCAATACAGGTAATCATTGTACAAGTAACACAGCCTCCCCAGACACAAGTGTCCACGGTACTGCAAAACCAAGCCCAAGCACCAGCACCTCCGTGAAAACATGGTGGGTCCATCAGGAAATACTTTCCAAAGAATAGCACAAATGCAAACACATGAGGGAACAGCTCTCAACCTGTGGATTGCGAGCCCTTGGGGGAGTCGAACGGCCACATCAGATACCCTGCATATTAGATATTTACATTGCTATTAGCAAAACTACAGTGATGAAGTAGCAACAACAATAATTTTGTGGTTGGGGTCACCACAGCGTGAAGAACTGCATTTTAAAGGATCGCAGCATTAGGAAGGTTGAGAACCACACTTTGAGACCCATGAAAGGGCGAACCGCAGAGAAGGAAAGCATTGCTTCTTTACAAGTTTAGAGCTGCAGAGCATCATGGGTGTTGGGGCGAGGCCATGAGGCTAAGGCTTGGTGACCTTCTTCCCAGGGGAAGCTCCCACGTGTCTCTTACCTGTGATGGTGGCTTTGTTGATGGATGGTTGATTGCACATGGGTGATCTTCTAACAAAGAGAGAAAACACAAAATTGTAAGTGTGTGGTGCTTTTTGACCTCTGTACCCTGAGTTTTTTGGAACACCCCATTCTCATCTACAGAATTATTTTAAAGTTGTGACATGAGCATAAATACTGCACTCTGGTTAGCCAGGAAAGTTCTTAGACGCCCTTTCAATCGCCTCAGACTACAGGTGGTAAAAGAGGGACCTTGGACACTGAGGGGAGATAAAACAATCCAGGGGCAGCTACGACATTGCGACTTCCCTCTTTCCATTTAAATCTGCTCTGTCCCTGCAAGTCTGTGTGGGACAGAACGGACATCTCTTCAGAGACACAAGGGTCAGCAAGATGCTCTCACACCAGTCACACCTCACACCTGTCATGAGTTTAAATGCTGCGTACCCAGGAGACAGCATCTGGAGGAGACTTAAAGGACGTTTGTTTCTCACTGAAGACAAAGAACTGCATTTCTCAGAGGAAATTTGCAAGGGAATAGCTTCATTTTCTGCTACTGAGCTGAGACTGGGCAAAAGTGAGGTGCCTGTTCCTATACAGTGTGAGAAGCCCAGGGAGCTTGCTGAGGTCCGCATGGCATGGCACAGCTGCGACTGGTCATGCTGCAGAGAAAGCACCATTGGCAAGAAATGGGTCCCTCAAAGCACTCCCCAGGGGTGCTTACCACCCCTTGACTTGACTGTTTGCAGCACCTGTGGGGTGGTTGCTCTGTATTAGGATGGGAGCTGGAGATATCGATACGAACAAGCTTCAACCCATGGTCAAGTTCCAAAGCAAGCAGAACCTGTGATGGTGCAGTGAGTGTAACTGGCAGGGCCACCCTATCCTTCCAGGAGGCCTCTGACAAGATGGGATCAGTGCATTCGCTCGTCAAACACCAGAGTACATGTAGAAAATGAAGTAGGCATTGTATGAGACAGAGAACACGACTGGAAAATGGCAGGCAGGGGCTCAGGTATGTCTGATGTACTGTCTTGAGTTCAGTTTAAGCTGAGGAGACACTGAGGGTTCTAGCAGGAGGGGGGAAGAGGGCGGAGCTTCAGAGGGCGGGGCTTACTTGCTGGGTGCTCGGTCTTGCAAATTGGTTAATGCAGCAAAGTTGTTTCGTACTGTTCGCAGGCTGGCCAAGACCTGTAACAAAGAGAATTCTTTAGAGTCCCTGAACTGGGGCCAGTTGGAATGCAGCTAAACATGCATTTTAAAGAATAAATTTTATATGCCATTACAGAATCTTCCAGGACTCAGGGAAGTTTTTAATCCTGCTATATGAAATCCAGGGAGGTTAGATTCCCAGATTTTCATAGAAACCCTTCTCACTGGCTTGGCTTGTGGTAACAGTAGCAACGGTAACCCTACACCATTTAGCCCTCTATACAATGTCCCTAGCGATTACAATTATGACACACTGTAATATAAAACATGATGACAGTCTCAGTTTAGTGATTAAAACCTAAAATTAGTCCTGAATTCTCTTGAAAAGTTCTTCAAGATTCCTCTGATCTCAGGTTATCGGGCTAAGTAAATCTTCAATTGTTTTTCCATCTTTGCAAAGGCCTATGCTGGTTAGTTAGTTAGTCCACAGATACTATTCGCCTTTGGAGTGGCTGTGCATATTGTGGACTATAAGAAGTCCCCAGAGAGGTGTTGATCACAGAAAACATCAGCGCTCTATAGGAAGGGTACTATTTGGTACACATCCCAGAACAAAGACAGTGTTCAGTAAGATTGTGTTGAAGAAACGAATACATGAGTGCATCTGCAAGTACATCAATATGCCAGGAAGTAGGTGATCCCACCTCTGCTAACCTCTTTATCCTAACTCCAGTCAGAAATAGAAGATGTCTAAGGGTTGGAAGTGTGTCCTGGAGAGAAGTTATGAGAGCCTGCTGACCCCCATTTTCTCCTAGAACAGGCTACTTTCCTCAGGGGCAGAATCTTTAGTAAGATTAAAGGTGCCAATAAGACCTCCATGCTTATTGGTTTGTAAAAAAAAAAAAAAAACCACATAATTCCCATTCCCTGGAATATGTCATGTATTAAATGCACATACTTGGACAAGCTATGACACCTCCTATGCCTCAGTTTCCTGGGTGTCAAACAGATGGTGCTATCTACTCTTTAGGGTTGTTGTGAAGGTTAAAGGGAACTACAGGTTAGTGCCAATGACATTGCCTAAGCAAAAAGTATGTGGTGACTATGCGTCCATTATGGAAACTTCCAGTTAATTATCTGGCACACAGAAGTTAGTATATTGCTTATCAGTGGTGAGACATGGAATTCTCAGATTTTTAATTGACCCAGGGGTTTTCGAGAACTGTGCCCTGAGTCTCTTCACGGGACAGTGATCCAGACAAAAGCCACCGTGTCTCAGGCATTTGCTTTTGGAAGTTGACTGGAACTTGTGCAAGTCAGAGAGGGCTGTTTATGCACTACAGCAGTGACCTTCAGCGGTCCCCCTGAAGGAGTTCATGGTGCCTCCTAGGAAGCCAGCCAGTCACTGGAAAACCTGGCTCATTATCACACACGGCTCAGAAAGGTCACACTGCCTGTGACGGAGTATCCAAATAGCTAGCTACTGACGTCAGACCACAGTGACTTTCATGAGGGATGAAATTCTGAATGATGCAGAGGTAAATGGATTAATGATCTAATCATGAAATCACGCCGGCTTAATTTGTGTTTTCAGATGTGAATATCACACATGCCAACAAAGCATTGGAATACAACCATTGCATCGGCTAACGGCTCCCTTTTCTACACTAAGATTTTAACCTCAGATTTTTAAGTTTTGTTTTTGTTTTGTTGTTTTGTTTTGTTTTCTCAAATGCACTTAAGTACAGTGCATTTGGCCACTGGGTAATACAAGCAGGAACTGAAGTGTTTCATTTCTGTAGGAAATGTTTTGCAGGTAATTCATAATTTTTTGATCATTTGAACAAAAACAAACAAACAAAGCATTAGCCCATCAAGGAAGACATTTGTTCACAAACAGAATGTCTTCTGTAGAGAAGTTTGTTTTGAAATGGGGGTTTACTGTACAGCCCTGGCTGGTCTAAAAGTCACTATACAGACCACACTAGCCTCTAGTTCTGGGATCTATGGGTTCCATGCCTGGCTTGCTAGGGTTAAAGGTATCAGCTGCCACACTTGACCTAAACAAAGTTTTTCAACTTTTGTCAAAAAAAAAAAAAGTATCTTTCTATCTCCATAATTAAGATAAGAAACAAATCATTGCTATTTTTTTTGAACAGGAAGACACGTGGGATGGGGTAGGGGACATTGAAGCATCATTTGAAGCCTTGATACTATTCCATGTCTTAACTGCGCATTTTATTATGACTTCTGCCTTACATATTCACCACATACGTAGCATGATACATTTCACAACGAAAGTGAGGGAAGAGACCTCCCTCAAGCATGGGCTGCCTGGCCCTGGCCTGTTGACTTTAAGGCTGTGTCTTTGCTTATGCAATTGTGAACTCTGATGTAGTAAATGCCATTGCAGACACCTGGAGGTAGGTCTTAGATCACTGCTTTGGTTTGTGATGGGACAAAGCCTGCTTTATATGTTCTATATTTAAATGTTAACAGTATCTCCCAGTCTGTAACTTATATGGTAGTGGCAGAAATGCAAGTGGACGTTTTCCATGTGACTCTGCTACATATATGATGTTGCCCTGGGTCTGGGTGATTGACTCTGGCGTTCTTCCTACAACTATGAGGTTTTCCTCAAACACTCTCATCTCCCGGGACACAGACAGGGAAGCAGTCACTGAGGGAAGCAGATCTGGGCTCACCAGAGCCCCGGGTGAGGGCTCAAGTTCATGGGTTCTCTTCTGCTCCAGGGCAGCTCTCTGCCATGTATTCAGCCCCAGCATCGGAAGCTGAAATCCACGCTCTGCAGGGCCATGAATTTTCTTGTCTCTTTAATTCTTAGACTTAGAGAAATTAAAACCATTCCTTTCTCTTTTTCCACTCCTAGCAAACATATAATTGTTTAAGAAAAACAAACCAGCAAGCAAAAAAAAAAAAAAAAAAAAAAAACACCGAACAAACAAACATGGGGATGTTGAAAAAAATATAAATATTAACAATGAATAGTGATAACACTACATGGAAAACTGTCTATTGGCCACGGGGTGAGAATGTTCAATATTCACACACACAATTCTCAGGGTCTTTTAGGTTCTTTCAAACATTTCTTAGCCAACAGGATTTCCTGAAGGTGGCAGAAAACTGCTGGTTTCATTAAACAGCTTGAGTGAAGGAATGGAAATTTTTTTCTGGATCGTTTTTTCCAGTCCATGCATATCTTACGCCACTGAGTGGCAGTATAACACAAACTATGAGCTACAATGCTGAGGGAGGTCGTGTGTCCTTGTGAGGTCAAAGAGGCTCGATTACTTAGGCTTCACCTAGGGGGAGGGTTCATCAGTGGGGAGTTATTAGAGCATAAAAAAAAAAAAAAAAGCTACTTTGGGTGAAAAATGAAACCTCTCTCCAAGTTGTAATTTTATTAGAACACATGAAGTGAGTGTTTCTGTTATGTCAGAGGCGGCCTCCAGCTTCCAGGACAGCTTTAGCTCTCGTGTGCATCAGCCCAAAGGACTCTGGCTAAATTGTTATTATGCTCAAAGGGAAGAAAAGAAGAGTCAGGGTGTGAGGGGCAGGCCGGGGGTCCTGCCTCTGGACATCAGACTTCACCGCTAAGGAAATTAACCAAAAGATTTGAGCACAGAAAAGATTCATTTTCAAATAAAATATGCAAATGAACTGAAGCTGGCACTGTTCCCTGTGGGTCAGGGAGCTCAGAGCCTAAATGAGAAATGCCAAAAACCTCAGCATACGAAGGTTCAGATGCTGGTTAGCACCTAAATGAGAGACTCTATAGAGTTCTTTAGAATGATTAGCTCTATCCAAGAAGTTTGAGGTCCCTTCTTGCTCAACAAAACAGCTGGTCCTCAACCACCTGTGCGCATATTCCCAAACACTTTAGGTCATTTTGTCATCTCACATCTATGCCATGGAGTTGAAAAATTTTTGTCTCTTATGCAGGGACACAAATGTGTCACTCAGCTAAATCTTTGTACAAATAACACATGTAAAAAAAAAAAGGGGGGTAAATAAAGTATCAGGTTGAAAAGGATTATTGAATTTCAAACACAGGTCATGAACTAATTATACTAGATGTTATTAAATCCATGATATATACAGTCTTCTCCTTTCGGTGCTAATTCCAGTTAGGGAAATAGGGCTCACGCAGTACTACCTCACTTACATAACTTGTTATTTGAAGTGCTGACACTGCTTGGGTCTAACTGCCTTACCCGAAGCACATCTGTAGAGCTAAGGTTGCATTCTCCAGCACTGCCTTTTAATTATTTGAATGAGCCAAACAATTTGTATGTGCACACTCCTGTGTGGTAAAGTTACCTTAAGGATAGGATGAAATCCCCACATCATATGTGTAAATCTGCACACTCCAACCCGTGCTTACCTGAGCAAATGGAGTCACAATCAAGTCATCTCCATGTCTGAAAAACAAACCAAATCCAGTGTTAGATGTCTCCAGCAATGCTCCACCCATTTTTGATCAATACTCAACAGTGTGTTCTATTGGAAGAAAAGCCCACTGAGAATTCCAGAAATTCCATCTTTCTCTTCCATGCACGTCCTTCCCAGCCACTAGGGTGAAAACATGTCTTCTGGATGTTAACCACTGTCCATCTCCTTTGGTTTAAAGAGGGGATCCTTAATTACCTGGCAATGTCAATGTTGCTTTTTAGGCACAAAGGTTGTGCAGTCAGAACGGAAGGGCCCAGATCTCTGGGCCTGCATTTTACTCTTGACTTCTCATTGCAGAACTTAGCCAGGGATGCATGCAGCAGTGACTCCTGTTAGAGTAACCCAGGCCATCTAACATTTGCAGGTGATTAGCATCAAGGGATCTGTATGGTCATGTGTACGCCTTGGATAGGCCGGGAGCTGTACATGACATGGGACTGTATCATGCACTAATAAAAACCCCAGGGAACCTTTTCAACTGACTCATGTTCCAGCCACTGTACTTACAGGGCAATATTACCCCGTAAGTGCTGTTGCTAGAATAACATCAGCTCCAATAGATGGGGGATAACAGCAAGGTGTCCACGTGATGTGTCTTGGAGAAGCAGGGACATGCAAGAAGCCATGCCACATTCTTCTAGAAAGAAAGTGAGAAACTGGGACCTGGGACTGACTCTCTGCAGTATTTTCCCAGGATAAATAAATTGAGAGAAGGATGTGGCAGTTTTTAGGCTATTTCTTAATCTAGCCAGTCACGAGCTGTTTTATTTAATTATTCTATCTTACTTATCTTGCAAGACAGAAGCTTGCTTGGTACAGAAGGCTGATCTTAGATTTTTGATGCTCCCACCTCGGCCCTGTGAATGTTAGGATTTGTGGTGGGCACCTGCCACATGCCACTTCAGAAAAGATTTTTTTAAAGAGATTTTTTTTTAAATTAAGTGAATGTAGTTATTTTACACATCTGTTTCCTCACTGAGCACTGTTCACTTGAATTTTCAGCTTGTTCCTAAGCATCTGAAAAGGTCCCAAATCCCCAAACCAATACCTATGAGTCATGCAATACAAGGAGCAGAGGGATGATACCAATAATGGGTTAATGATGACGAGACCACCATGGAGGAAAGCAAACGTCTATCTAGGGAATACTAGAGAAAGAAACAAACACAGAAACGTCTGGAACAGATAGAAGAGCCACTGCAAGTCACTGTGGAAGTTACTGTCACCTTGGTCTTGAGTCTTGTGATGTGGAAGGAGGCTCTATGCCTGCTTACCTACCCTGGTCACCCTGAGCTAAGCAAAAGCCTGTGGCCACAAGGAACACTTCTCCCCTCTTCCCAGAGGAGGACATGCTGGCCCCTGAGCCAGTGCTACTGGAGACCTGGAGGACAAGCTCAGTGGCATGCGTTGACAGGAGAAAGGGCAGGACTTCCATTCTCCACATGGTTGCCATCTTTCCCTTGCCTCTGTGTTCCTTACTACACTACTTTCCAGTCTCACTTAGAGCCAGAAATGTAGAAAGGAAACCATGAGGCCCCAAAGCAAACTTTCTTATGTACAGCACTTCAACAGGGATGGGCGCTGCCATCTAGAAGACCTAGTTCCGCCAGATTCAGCTCCTGAAAATGCAATTCCTTCAGTAACTGTTTCCAGACCGTGGGGATTTAGAGACATTGCCTCATGTCAGGTTCAGTGCCAGAGGCCTTAACGATGGTTTCTTTTCATGGTTTCCTTCCTTCCTTCTTCCCTCCCTCCATCCCTCCCCCTCCTCCTCCCTGTTTCTCTCCCTTGCCTTCTTTCTTTCTTTCTCTCTTCCTTTCTTCTCCTCCTTTTTTTTTTTTTTTAAATAGATATATTCTTACCATGTAACTGACTGGGATAGAACTTGCTTTATAGATCAGGCTAGCCTTGAACTCACAGAGATCCATTTGCCTTTGCCTACTGGATGCTGGGATAAAAGCCATGCCCCTCCAAACCTAGCTACCTGTTGTTTCTTAAAGTAAGTTTTTGAATCTGGACCTGACAGTACAGGTCCACCATCCCTGCTACTCAAGGAGCAGAGGCAGAAGTGTAGTGAGATAGTTCTGTGGCAGTGACCACGCCCATTGGGGGGTGGGGCCATGGGCGGAGTGACCTGTGGAAGGAAGTTGGAGGGGGCCAGGAAAGGTGCTCTCTTTCTGGCGTGACTCGGACAGAAGAGGATTGGGTTGAATTTCCTGGTGTTCATCTGTCTAGGTTGTAAGTTATTTCTCCCTGAATAAACATCTATTCGGCCTATTTGTTTATCCTGATCCTTATTTACCGCGATACAGAAGGAACAAAAATTCATTTCCTGGTTATACTATAGGGTGAGTAGAACGACAGCCTGGGTAACTTAGCAGGATATGGTCTCAAAAATATATATTTAAAGGTCTGGTATATAGCCCAATAGTTCACTTGGAGTATGCTTACCTGTGCTCAATCTCTAGTAACAAGTATACACACGCACACACAGACAGACACACAAACACAGACAGACACACATACAGACAGACAGACACACACAAACACACACACACAGACATATCACACACACACACACACACAGAAATGATAAATAAAAGCCCACAGATTTCACTAACAATATAAGTTTAAATCATAATATTTGTAAACAGTTGGAATCAATATACAGCAATAATTAATATTTGTCAAATGATTCACTATGCAAAGAATTCAGAGTATCTCCTAGCTAATGTCTACTGTAGGTGAGGAAGGTAGTCCAAGAAGGACACACGATCGATATTTGATGAGGACTCAAACTCTAGTCCTATGTCTCTGGGCTCTGCTCCTACCACACCATCTCCCATGCTCTTACACACACGTGATTCTCCATCTCCCATGCTCTTATACACACGTGATTCTCCATCTCCATGATCTCACACATTCATGATTCTCCATCTCCCATGCTCTTACACACACGTGATTCTCCATCTCCATGATCTCACACATACATGATTCTCCATCTCCCCTGCTCACGTGATTCTCCATCTCCATGATCTCACACACACGTGATTCTCCATCTCCCATGCTCTTATACACACGTGATTCTCCATCTCCCATGCTCTTATACATACGTGATTCTCCATCTCCATGATCTCACACACACGTGATTCTCCATATCCCATGCTCTTATACACACGTGATTCTCCATCTCCCATGCTCTTATACACACGTGATTCTCCATCTCCATGATCTCACACATACATGATTCTCTACCTCCCATGCTCTTACACACACGTGATTCTCCATCTCCATGATCTCACACATACATGATTCTCTACCTCCCATGCTCTTACACACACGTGATTCTCCATCTCCATGATCTCACACATACATGATTCTCTACCTCCCATGCTCTTACACACACGTGATTCTCCATCTCCATGATCTCACACATACATGATTCTCTACCTCCCATGCTCTTACACACACGTGATTCTCCATCTCCATGATCTCACACATACATGATTCTCTACCTCCCATGACCTTACACATACATGATTCTGCATCTCCCATGCTCTTACCCACATGTGATTTTCCACTTCCCATTCACTTAACCAATGTCAAAAGCACATCCAAAAACAGTGCTGACTCTGTGGCATACTTTTCACTTTATGAAAATATCGCTAAGATAACATATCATCAGACATAAATGCAGAATAAGAAAGTTAATCAGCAAATAAACACATCCACACCCCAGCCCAGCAGTGACTTTAATAAAACCAGCTCAGCCTTCCAGATGATCTTCCCACCCTGCAAGCTGAAACTAAATAATAGAGAAACTAGTGAAAGACATTTACTTTTGGGTCTGGGCAATGATCAACTAACATGCTTATAAACGGCACAAGAGCTCTGAGGAAGGCATGTGATAGATACTTAATACTGATATCTGTAAGTTAACATGCATGTTATACATATTATATAGCATATATATTATGCATGCAAAGAGAATATTCAGGCTCTGGTTTTCTTATTATAAACATTTATTTTTATGCTAAGTTTCAAAAAAGTTTAAAACTGTCCTGGGTAGGGGGCAAAATCCTACCGATTACCTATAACCAGGCATTCAGAAAAGTGGCCTATTTTCCCTATTCTGTTCCCCAGGGAAATTCGCCCTGTAAATATTACATATGACTTCATATAATTAAGGAATACCAAGTAAGGGCTATGGATGCAGCTTAGTGATAGAACAGTTGTTTAGCATGTGTAAGGAGGACCTGGGTTCCACCCCGGTCTGGCATCCTGCCCCCCCAGATATCTCTATATCCATACATGTTTCTCATCTAGCTTCAGAAAATGTCATGACCTTAGGAGGTACTTGGTATTCTAATGTCTAAAATATCTCTTCACTTCTAGTTAACATTTTAACAATTAATAAACAACTCCACCACAAGAATTCAAATAACCATGTTATAAAGAGTCACAGGTACTCTCCGGGTAAAATGTACCAATGATTGACAGGCGCTTAACAGTACTCAGCATTGCAAAATGCAAATTTAAGCCAATATATTAACTCTCCATTGTTAGAGGTTAATTTCATTTTAAAAGGCAAAAGACTGCCAGGCAGTGGTGCACGTCTTTAACCCCAGCACTTGGGAGGCAGAGGCAGGTGGATGTCTGTGAGTTTGAAGCCAGCATGGTCTATAGAGCAATTTACAGGACAGCCAGGGCTACACCAAGGAACCCTACCTTGAAAAAGCAAACTATAAGAGATCACATGTCTTCTCCATGTCAACAGCAGTACAATGGGCTTATTAAAAAGAAAGTCAAAGATATTTCAAAAATGATCAAAAGCGACAACCAAGGACACAGACTGTAAGTGGCTCCAGTCTCAGAGGAAGTTTACAAAATTCACCCAAAGTTGAAAATATTGCCCCTAGCAGATGCGCCTCATCCCTTTTTGGGTAAACAGCCAAAGCAAATGGCGGCA